GAGTTTTCGAAAATGGTGGTTGAAAAAAAGATTTGTGTTGCCATATTGTAATTTAAGTTGTAACTTGTGTGGCCATATTGTAATTTAAGTTGCAATAAGTGTTGCCCCATTGTAATTTAATTGTGCAATATTTTTCAATATTTCAATAGAAATGTTAAACATAATTAATGTACCTAACGATAGAAGAATGAATTATAAGACTGACACAGACCACTGTGCACATATTAATAGAAACATAATTCATAAGCACAGACGAGAAAAAAGAATAACTTAGTTTAGCATAGACGGTGATGAAAATCGGTTGCTTTTCTCAAAAAAAGTAAGATCTGGGGGGTTACTCTGTATTGCGTTGCGAAAGCAAGTGCGATGCGAAAGCTAAATGCGTTAAGAGTACAATTTGGTACTCTGTAACGCTCACGCAAACGCATTCGCAAACTAAATCGAAAATAGGGCAACACTGTCGCCACAAAGTAATCAATAACGAAGAATGACAAAAGGAAACGTCAAAAATTTTTAAATGAAAACATATTTTTGTGTGGTACGAGTGTTTTTTTAAACAAAAATGATGAATTAAAAACGAATTAAAAACAAAAAAAGAATTTTATGCGTCTATACAAGGCAATTCGGTTTCCAAAATATTTTTTTATTGTTTTTTCACATTTAAATATATATAAAAGTGAAATAGGGAGAATATATAAGTAAAATAGAAGTACGAATTATGTGACAAACGTTTTCCAATATTTATAGATTTATACAAAATGTTCGTCTCAATAAAGATTCGTTTATGTATTTATTAAACGCTCGTCTTTCCAAATGGATCCACAACAATTCCAACTCCAATAAAAGAGGCCGCTGCTTTGAAATTGCTTGGACAAGGTGGTTATCAACACCAACCTGTAAATATGCACACATAGTTTCACTTTTTCCAACCACCGACATCTTTTACAAGAGGTCAATTTGAATTGAGGTCATCAGACAGTTTTGTCCACAAATTGTTGACGCGTTGTTTCGCATTTGAACTCTGCAACTGTCCCTTTGCCAAATCACTGTGTTGCCCCATAAAATCTACTTAAGTTAGGAATTGACGTTGCTGAGTCTGCAGCTCTGACTTTTTTGCCTTTTACTTAAAATAATTTACAATTTATATATAAATAAAAATATTAATTGAGCTTACTTATATGTTTCGCTTCCTTTGCGTTTGCTATTTTGTTAACGCAAGATATTTGCGCTTAACGAAAGAGTTTGACATGCGTTTTCGCATTACAGAGTGCGGTGATGCCACATTTGCGTAAACTGGATGCGAAAGGAGATACGAAAACGAATTAGAGAGTACCAATTACGCGATGCGTTACAATTTTTCTCACGCATCGCAATACAGAGTAACCCCCCTGTGCAATACAATTAAGTCTATATCTTTAAAATATTTGTATGTTTTGTAGTATTTCCCTGAAGATGACTGCCGAAGACAGTCGAAATATTGGAAAATAAAAATAAACAAAAAAGAAAAACATAACCAACGAGTTTTTCAATTGACCTAGAGCCAAAACAAAAATCCACAAGAATTTTATTTATTGAGTTTTTATTAAAAATGTTTACTTTTTATTGTTATTTAAACTTTATAACAATACAAATGTGAAATATCAATAATCCGCTTTATAAATGCTTTGTAATTGAAAGAAAATAAATTAAAGTTTTAAAATGTGGCAACCTACAATATGGCATGTGAAACAGCTGTTCATTGTTTTGATGCAATTTGGTGCAACAACTACAATAGATTACAAATAAAAGAACATTTTTTATGATGGCAAAAACACAACGAATAATGGAAAGAAATCTGCGATTGAATTAATTAATTCAGTTTATTATTTCACTACATAATTGTGTGCATTTTTATTTAATTTCGTTGCCTGTTATTTTATGATTTGCTCCTACTCCTTTATTTCTTCCTTCAAATCATGAACACGATAATTTTGAAAAAAAATATTATTTGTTCTTTCATAATTTATATTTAAGTTTTTCGTTGTTAAGCGGCTCATCAGGCAAATTTGGTTTTTCCATAATTTAATTTTTTAAAATTTTTTTCTTGAGAAACAGACAGACCTCAACCAAAATGTCTGTATTTCGCCTCCAAAATGCATCAAACTCGGCTTAAATATTCCTTATTACCTTCATACATTCCTTGGCAGAACTTGGTTCAACATGCATCGTTATCAGTAGAATTTCCAATGGCATTTTATTGGTTGTTTTCCAGTTAAAAATTTGCTTACTATCATTTATAATATTCTAAATCATCATAGAATAAGTATTGTGTAAATATTTTTCATAAAAATAGTTATTACTTATGTTTTTGTAGTCAACTCCCTTTAAATTTATTAGCGAAAAATTTCGCACAAAATTTCATCTCATTCCCCTACTCCCTGTAATTCAGAATACCTAATTTTTCACCAAAGCGGATTTTTTCGCTTTCGAACTTCATTCGAGAATGCGAAAAAATGCACAGGAAAATGTTGTTCAGAATAAGCCGAAGGGGAAGAGCGAGTAAATTCACATGGAATTGACATCCAAAATAAGGCTGTTGAAGTATGAATGGTTGTTTTTGACGGGCTCAAGTACAGAAGACGCTTAGTTGTAATCGAATTTTTGAAATCAGACTACCTTTATTACACTGTGACAAATTTGAATTTTTTTGATAATTACCGGGAAATCCCAACAGATTATGAAAGAGGGGCTAAAAAAGTAGACACGTGTATCGGCGTTTTGAAAGTTTACGTCGGGAGGTAACCTAAAAAGGCGGGGCAATATTCCCCCTTTTCAAGAATTTTGATAATTTTCTAATTATGATTTCTTGAAATCCTTGCATTTTAGGTATATAGTGTCTTCGGCAATATTACTGACAAAATATCGAGGAATATTTTGGTATGCAACTTTAACCCTCAACCGACTCATTAAAGGGTTCTTTTCGGTCCCTTTTTCCAGGAGTGATTGAAAACTCATTCAAAACGGGGTTAAAGCTGCTCAGAATATTCTAAAGAAATGTTCGCCATAAAGTTTTACTATAAGTCTCAGATTAGACTAAAACTCAAAATCAGCCTAAACGTCAAAAATCTTAAAAAACAAAAACTCATTTTAGGGTTAATATCGTACTTATTACTAGTTTTTACCCATTTTTCCCACAAGATGTCGGTTTAGAAGGATAGTATAAGGGACAAAAATATTCTCCATCAATTTTTAGCATAAGTCACTGAACAAGAGAAATCTGTATATATAATGTATATACCGAATATATAGTCATACATTTTGAACCAAATATTCAACAGGTTTTTGTATTTTTTTTGTCAAAGACATTTCCCAGTATTTTTCGACTAAGTGCATTAAAGTAACATGAAACTTAATTTTAGGTATATAATGTCAAAGAATAAAATATTCTACGTCAAAATCCACTTCAAGTTTCAGAACAAACTATATATTTATATTTAACAGTTTTTGAGAAATTTACATTATAAAATTAACTGAAGTCTGCAAAAAATTGTTCTTATTATATATAATTTTATAATGTAAATTTCTTAAAAACTAATGACATTATATACATTTGACATTATATACCTAAAATCAAGTTTCATGTAGCTTTAATGCACTTAGTCGAAAAAATACTGGGAAATGGCTTTGACAAAAAAATACAAAAACATTTTGAATATTTGGTTCAAAATGTATGACTATATATTCGGTATATACATTATATATACAGATTTCTCTTGTTTAGTGACTTATGCTAAAAATCGATGGAGAATATTTTTGTCCCTTATACTATCCTTCTAAAACGACATCGATATTAACCCTACGATATTAACCCTAAAATGAGTTTTTGTTTTTTAAGGTTTTTGACGTTTAGGCTGATTTTTGAGTTTTAGTCTATTCTGAGACTTATAGTAAAATTTTATGGCGAACATTTCTGTAGAATATTCTGAGCAGCTTTAACCCCGTTTTGAATGAGTTTTCAATCACTCCTGGAAAAAGGGACCGAAAAGAACACTTTAATGAGTCGGTTGAGGGTTAAAGTTGCATACCAAAATATTCCTCGATATTTTGTCAGTAATATTGCCGAAGACACTATATACCTAAAATGCAAGGATTTCAAGAAATCATAGTTAGAAAATTATCAAAATTCTTGAAAAGGGGGAATATTGCTCCGCCTTTTTAGGTTACCTCCCGACGTAAACTTTCAAAACGCCGATACACGTGTCTACTTTTTTTAGTCCCTCTTTCATAATCTGTTGGAATTTCCCTGTAATTATTTATTGTGTTGCACAGTGTTATTTTGCCATGATAAGAAGCAGATAATTCACAAAAAAACCAATACCTGTAGTGAAATTTATGTTTATCAGGATGTACTACCATAAATGATTAACAAATGAATCGTAATTTTAAGTGTTCAATTTATGATATCATTTTGATTTATTGAATTTATAGTGTATTTAGGTAGCGGTATTTTAACGCAGAAAAAATCTTCAGTGTCATTGTCATCATCACCCTGTTGTTATGTTTTTATTCGTAGGACGTAACGCAAGAGCTGTAGTGACGTTACGTGTGTTCTACTAAATTTGTTTCTAAGTTATCATCTGGCAACATCAGTGTTGTGTATTACTGTGGGTGTATGTGTGTAAACAATACGGTTCTCATTTAGTTTCCTTCCCACCTCATTCGTAATATTTCGGTTATACCACTTTGAGTTCATATTTATCGACCATTTTGTCTTCTCCTCCCATTCGTTAGAACGTGGAACGTTTTTCAATTTTTCTTCAGTTGTTGAAAAAGTCCAGAAAAAATCACGTTTGTGCACTTATTTTTATGAGTAAATTGGCGATAAAAAAGAAATATTTTTGAAATCTAGCAAGAAGGTTGTGTTCATAGGACAGTGTATAGAATATTATTAAAATTTGGACTCTTATGTAGGTCTGAACATTAAACAGAGGAGACGACCTTTATTTCAAGTATATAGAATTTTCTATTACAAACATGGCAGACGATTTACAAAATTACAAATTACAGCTGCAGCAGGTATTTTTGCCATTGATATTTATTTTATAATATTTTTTAATATAAATGTGTAATTTAGGTTGAAGCCGCTTTACTTACGGACCCTGAAAATGAGGAACTTTTGAAATTGAAAAAAGATTTAGAGGAAGTTATTGAATTAACCAGAGACCTCGTAAAAACTCAACTAGAGGAGCACAGCAAACCAGCGTATATAGAGCCTGCTAACTCAAAGTCGTCCTCGTCTTATGATGATATCGAATCGGCTTTGCTACAGGCTGAGAAACTTCTGTCACCAAGCAAGGCGTGGAAAGTTGGTGATAAGTGCCAGGCAAAATGGACGGAAGATGGTCAGTTTTATGACGCCACCATTGAAGGTATTACAGAGCATGGTGAAGTCAGAGTTATATTTGACGCCTATCAAAACCGATCAACAACACTGCTAAGTGAACTTCGCGAGAGAAGTAGTCGTAACGAAGTATTTCCTAGCAACAAACGCCATAGACCTAACCAAAAGGAGTACCTAAAGAAACGAAAACTTAAGAAACAGCAACGCTTCAAAGAACTTGAAGAGGAACGAGAACAAGATAAAAACAAATGGCTTAATTTCACCACAAAACAGTCGAAGAAGCAGGGAATGCAAGTGAAAAGTATTTTTGCGTCCCCTGAAAATGTTGAGGGTCGTGTGGGAATTGGTACATGTGGTGTTGCTGGTAAAGGAATGACGGACTACACAGTTGGTGAAAAATATAGAAAAGGGCTTTAAATTATATAAAGTACATTTATCTTGCATATAAGGTGATTTTTAATAAAAACATATTTCATACATACTTGGATAGCATTTTATCTCGGTCATTGCCTTTTCCAGTTTGATGTATTGAAGAGCGCTTTTGAAGAATGTTTTCATTTTCTTTTGCTTTGGCTAAAGTAGCCATTGTCAAGTCATCAAAGCCAGCCTTCTCATGAACGCGTGCTAATAGCAACAGTTTTTTTGTTCTGAGTTGAAGTTCGTCCGTGTCCAAAAGCTCCCTAAATACGGAAGAGATATTTATTATCAATACTAAGAAAATTTTGCATGACAAAATTATGAAAAATGAATAGTTAGGTTATATAGTTGTATTTATATGTCTCATATAATTTATATTAACAGTAAGAGGATATTGGAGTATACAGCCCCCGATGTTCGAATATTAAAAATTTCAATTTATTCCAAAAACTTCATTACATGGACTACTCCCAAAGTACGCACCCGTCTAAATGTTGCAGCAAAGGTGCGATCTAATACAACACGGAAACTCGACGTCGAAAAGCTGCAAACACAACAGGTAGCCGAGGCCTACTCCGCTCAACTTACCCATCTGCTTGAAGAAAGCACTTCTTGTCCCGATAATAGTATAGAAGCACAATGGCAAAGAATTGACCACTCCCTACAAACTGCAGCAAAAAGAACAATTGGGTACCAAAAACCACCACCAAGAAACCCATGGTACGATCAGGAGTGTCGTATTGCTACTGATGTGAAAAACGCAGCGTATAGGGCAACCCTGCAGACAGTAGCAACACGTAACGTGATGGAGAATTATCGGGAGAAAAGGAGAGAGGAGAAACGTGTTTTCAGAAAAAAGAAGAAAGAACAAGAAAAACGTGAGCGTGAGCGTGAGCAAATCGAGATGTACAGGAGTCAGAATGAAGTCCGGAAATTTTACCAACGAGTAAAACACCAAACCGAAGGCTTTGGTGCAGGCACATCCTCCTGTAGAGATGAAGAAGGAAACCTGGTGACAGATACAGACAGCGTGTTGAGGATCTGGAAGGAGCATTTCGAAAAGCTGCTAGTATCAAATAGTGGCGATGAAGAAGATACCCCAGAACCAATAGGAGATGATGGTATAGAGTGTATACCACCTAGCCAAGATGAGGTCATAAAAGCAATTAATCGGCTCAAGAACAACAAAGCAGCAAGAGCCGATGGGTTACCAGCCGAACTATTCAAGACTGGTGGCCAGATGCTGGTCAGGAGCATGCACCAGCTGATTAACACAATTTGGCTAGATGAATGCATGCCCAATGATTGGAACCTCAGCATCCTGTGTCCCGTGCACAAAAAAGGAGACAAGACGATATGTGCCAACTATAGAGGAATAAGTCTCCTTCCCATCGCATATAAAGTGCTATCAAGTGTGCTGTGTGAACGATTGAAGCCAATGGTCAATGACATCATCGGACCATACCAATGCGGCTTCAGACCTGGCAAATCGACCATAGACCAGATTTTCACTCTGCGCCAAATCCTGGAAAAGACCCACGAAAAACACATCGACACATATCACCTATTTATCGACTATAAAGCCGCATTCGACAGCCCTATCCGTTCAGAGGTGTTTAAAGCCATGTCTGCGTTCGGCATTCCTGCAAAATTAATACGGCTATGCAGGATAACATTAAGTGGCACAAGGTCAGCCGTTAAAGTAGGAAAGGACCTATCGGAGCCCTTCACTACCGAACGAGGATTCAGACAAGGTGACAGTTTGTCGTGTGATCTTTTTAACATCCTACTAGAAAAGGTCATACGAAATGCAAAGGTGAACAGAAATGGCACTCTGTACACCAAACAACACCAGTTACTCGCCTACGCCGATGACATCGATATAATGGGTCGAACATTGCGAGCGGTAACAGCCACCTTTGAACAAATTGAAAAGGAGTCTGCCAAAGTGGGTCTGGCAGTAAACGGCGAGAAGACCAAGCTGATGGTATCAACGCGCAAGACGTCCAGTAGACTCGGACCAACTGTGGAACTTGAGAACTACAGCTTCGAGGTAGTTAAAGACTTTATATACCTTGGTACCGCCATAAATAAAACGAATGATATCAGTTTTGAAATTCGGAGAAGGATTGTGATGGCCAACAGATGCTACTATGGTCTAAGTAAGCAGTTTAGAAACAAGGCCACCTCTCGCCAGACCAAACTCACACTTTACAAGACGCTGATACTACCCGTGCTATTATATGGATCAGAAGCATGGGTACTTGCGCAAGCAGATGAGGCAGCTCTTGGGGTGTTTGAGAGAAAAATTCTCCGAAAGATCTACGGGCCGATCTGCGTCGACGGTGAATATCGGCGTCGAATGAACCACGAGCTCTACAATTTATACGCAGACATCGACATAGTCAGTCGTATTGAGCTGCAGCGACTACGGTGGCTAGGCCATGTTGTGCGGATGAATGAAGAAGCCCCAGCTCAAAAGGCATATAAAAATGAGCCTACGGATGGTTCCCGTAGAAGGGGAAGGCCACGAATTAGATGGAAAGACCAAGTAGAAAACAACATCCTGGAACGTGGTCTTCCAAATTGGTGGACTTGCGCACAAGACCGACGCGCTTGGAAATCTTTTTTAAGCTCGGCTTATGGAACAACCGTTCTGTAACAAGCCAGCTAAGTAAGTACTCCCAAAGCTTACAATTAACAGCATATCATTTAATCATATAAGAAACAACAGTACATAAACTCATGAACTTGGGATAGATATTTAATGTGTTTGTACGCAACGATAGTTCGAACATGGGTAAATATGTCTGAAGTTTTCCCATTATTAGCAATGATGTATATTTGAATTCGCGTGAGCTTATTTTTTTATTAAACACATACATATGTACTACAAAAATACATATTACAAAAAAGTATTATGTATGAATTGTAATAACTTTTTATGGTAGTTGATTTATTTAACATTTGCATTTTTATTTTGCCACTGAAATTCGTTAGGTTATGACTTTTTTACAACGTCGATCCGTGTATCATACTTTTTTTAATTTTTTATTTATTTCAATTTTAACATGTATAACGAAGCCTTTAGGCCAATAAATGTAATACATTATGCAAAACAGTATGATTTAACTACTCAAACAAAAGGACATTTCATAACATGTCCAAATGTAAAAACTTACTTTAATATGCAAATTTAAGTAAACAAAATTTAACAAACGAAAAATATGAGATCAATCAAAAATCATAAATATTTCATTATAAAAGAAAATTACATATTCTAACATCCATCAATAAGTGCAATAGGAAATGTTGTATGTCAAAGCTCAATACAGGTGGCGAACAATTTTTTTTATAGAACGTTGTGGGAGTAACACTGAAATTTTTAAGTTCACAGGGTAAAGTGTTATAAAACCATTCTGCACGAACAATAAACGAGTTAGCCAATAAATCAACTAAAAACAAGGGACATTGTAGTTTAACTATCTTGAACAAACAAAGAAGCAAGCGAGAATCTACATACGACTTAAAGGAGCATCCAAAAAAATCAATAACATAGGCACTAATATGAACACGAGGATTTAACCTATATACAAAACGTATAACTCGGTTAACTGCTAATTGGACTAAATGAAAATTACCCAAAGTAGAAGCCGAGTATACTTCAATACAGTACAAGAACACTGGCAAGACTAATGCATGGGCCAACCGCTTCCTTTAGAAAAACGGCAAGGATAGATCAGTCGCTTAAAGAGCACGAAGACAACCTTATTTATATGGTTATCAAAACAAAGCTTGTTATCAAGCACAACACCCAAGCAAAGAATCTCGGAAACAAACTCAATACTCGTATTATTGTACATAACGAAAGCAGTCATTAACACATGTTGCAAAAAACATAGATTTCGTCTTGGGCGGGTTAATGCTGAGCGAATTATATTACATCCAAGTGTACAAGACCCCGTAGCGCTATCAATTTTTGATTGCATCACTGACCCAAATCGAGAATCTCCTTTAAAAAGCAACTGGACATCATCAGCGAATGCATATGGTTCACACCAGATGATGAACAGAAGTGGCCCCAAAACCCAAAAGAGATTTTACTTCAAAAATCATTTGATCAATTTTTTTATTATGAGAATTAATTCGAAATAAGATACCTACTCTGAATTATAAATAAAAACGTCAAATGTTCGGCCAGTAAGCGAATTCAAAGAGAAAACTTTAATTCAAGGTTTATTCATACGGTTAACAGGCAGGCGAATTCATGCCTTAGTCTTCTCTCGAAATACCAACCAGAACAGGATAAAAACTCAAAATATCTTTCAGGAAAACGTAATGATAGTAATGTGCACATATATTTTGGTTCGAATAAAAATATTTTTTGTTTATTTATTCCATGGTATAATTGTACAAGGTGGTCTCATGCCTTCATATGTTTCCAATTTTTTTTATAAGTTTGTCTTTGACAGTATTCATGGTATAATAATAGAAGGTAACAGCAAGTGTTGTTGTACAACAAACGATACAACAACCACATGAAAATTTGTTTTTGTAAGTTATACTAGTGTGAACGTCATTTGACAGAAAAATGTAAACAAACAAATTAATTATATTTATTTTGAAAATTAACTATTTTCGAATCCTCAATATAAAATTTGAAAAACATGAATGAAAATCTATTAAATTTACGATGGAACGAATATTTTAATATCACCTAATACTGCCAATATTAATAAGATATTTAACTACATACGTATCTTAAAATTACTATTTAATAAAATTATTAAGAATTGTCAACCGATTTAGCTGATGACCATCGTAACCAGTGCTATATACTTTTTTTATTGTATTTACTACAATGTTAATACCACAATAAATAAATAAATATTTATTTATTTTGAAAATAAAATAAAATTATTAAGAATTGTCAACCTATTTAGCTGATGACCATCGTAACCAGTGGTAGATACTTTTTTTATTACCTTTGTATTTACTACAATGTTAATACCACAATAAATAAATAAATATTTATTTTGAAAATAAAATATTTTCGAATCCATAAAATAAAATTTGAAAAACATGAATGAAAATCTATCAAATTTATATTTCTATCGCTTCCACATCTTTCCTCTAATTTTGCTATTGCTTCTTATATGTGTAACACATATGAAAATGCAGGGAATTGCGAGTTATTCCATGAAGAAAGATCTGCTTCCTCAAACTTTCCCAACAGGCAGATTGAGTAAAATGAATACGGGAG